GCGTGAATTCATACCAAGCTTGGTATGCCTTATCAAGGAAAACGTGTAATAATTACGCTTTAAAAAGAATTTGAAAAGCGACAAATATTAACACTTGCAAAATATATACGTTTTCAAAAGTGTAAAATTTCAAAATTGTGAAAGGAAAACGAAAAATTATGATTTTTTATATGCTAACAACAACAAGCATGGCAAATTTAAAAAAAAAACTCTAAATTCACTTTGACAAAAAAAGTGTAGAGTTTCAAAACAGCAGGAAATGGCAGCTGCAATGCTACTATAGTTCAGTAAGATGCAGCTGCGTTATCCACCGTCTTTTGTAGTTACAANCCGTTTTCAAAAGTGTAAAATTTCAAAATTGTGAAAGGAAAACGAAAAATTATGATTTTTTATATGCTAACAACAACAAGCATGGCAAAATTATAAAAAAAACTCTAAATTCACTTTGACAAAAAAAGTGTAGAGTTTCAAAACAGCAGCAAATGGCAGCTGCAATGCTACCATAGTTCAGTAAGATGCAGCTGCGTTATCCACCGTCTTTTGTAGTTACAAATGTTTTTTACAGATTTGAAAAAGTGTAGAGTTTCGAATTCAACGAAAACAATAGTTCCTAACAATTGCACAGAACCATGCAATTACACTCTTAGCTCAACGCTGTACATCAACTAAAACACACTTTAAGCTTTTATAGCTTCGCAGCAGCGTTGCCATACTACAAGAGAATAATTTTTTACAGCTGCTTCCTAATATTCAATACTGCTGCTAAAAATTACTATTTCAAAAATACTTTCGATTTTTTTTTTTTTTGTGTGAACTGTGCTTACCACCTTTAGCATAGATGTTATTTCGGCCTTTCATAGCGGTCTTGCTCTACTGTAAATATCTAAATATGAATACCTTATATTTTGATGATTTCGTTAATACGCGCGCGTGTGTATGTATGTGTGTTTGAGTGGGCATGTCAAAGTGAGCTGTTTGCAATTAATTTTAGCTGAGCTATTTTTCAGTGTTCATTAAACTCTTAAATATTTTTTTTTACTAATTCAGCATTAAAATATCTTATTTTTTAATTAAATTAGTCTATTGCTCGCTACTTTTTTCTTGCTTTTATTTAATTTATAAAAGATTTACTTAAAATTATGATTTTTCGCTACATGCTTACACGCTCGTGTACTACAAATGCTTGTTTACAATGCGCTGGTTGTGGAGTTCAATGGCGTTGCCACGTGGGAAAATTGTTACGTGATTTTCTTTTTTTGGTTTTTCGAATTAACCTATTTATATTTGTTTTTTTTTTATATATAGTTAAAATCAGACCACAAAAAAAAACGTTTTTAAATTTTGTAAAAAGTTTTAAACATTAAGTGAAGCTGAATATGCTAAAAATATAAATTTAAAAAAAGTTAAAATTAAAATTAAAATTAATATTAAACATTTTTTTTTTGTTTTTTATTATAACTTTTTTTTTTTAATCACAAATCATTGATGAAAACACACAAATCTAGCGCAGATTTTGTTTCGCCGATATCGTATGCTTCATTTGCTGACTTCTCTTAAACTCCAATCAATAGTTTAAGCGACTTATACTCTGTAATTTTTTTTTAATTTTTTTTTGTTATTCAATCTAACCTGTTTACGCTTAGTTAATATTTTTACAGTGTAGCTATGTACACACATCTTTGCAGAAGTGATCAGAAAGAAAATGATGCGCTCTTTCTCGGTGTTTTCCTTTTTTAAAATTTTTTATTGCAAATTTTTAATTTCAGTGCAACATATTCATGTATCTCAGTATGTAGTTATGTACGTTAAGGGGCTCTAATGCAGCAAGGACACTCTCAAAGGTATTTTCAGACAGTTTAGCATGCGTAGTTTAATTTATTCTATGTAGTTTTTACAGATATACAAATGTATGCAGGTGTATTAGTGTTTTATCGGTGCAGTGGACATTTTCATATAAAAAGTGATTTTTTACAAGAAATATACAATATCTACTTTTCTAGCATTTGACTTGGACCATGGAAAGGATTGTTATATTTTTAAGGAATGTTTCTTTTCGGTAGAAATGTGGGACATTTATGGATTTATTATTATTTGTTTGAAGAGTTTAGAGTAGAAAATTTACTTATAAAATTTACTTAAATTTGCATTAAAAGTACTTTTTAATCAGGCAGCCATTTTTGAGAAAAATGCTTCAAACACTTAATTTTTTTTATAAGGAATTTAGAGAAATTTTTAAAAGCATTTTGGAGACTTTTGTAAAGTGATCTTACTCCGCGATAACTAGTTCTTGAAAAGACTTTAAATAATACTAACAAAATTGCATTCCAAGCTTAAGAAAACCAAATGTACTTAAAAATTTATGGGCATTCCCTTTCTACAATTTTTTATATTTTCAGTAGCTTGTTACTTTGCTGACTGCGTTTAGTTTTTAAAGAAAATTTCGAATAAGCTCGTAGAGAAAACCACACTTTTCAAAAAATGGTATCGTTTAAGTTCGGGAAAATTCGCAAATTTCTTCACAACGACCTTTCGAAGTTTTGGAGACTTTTGTGGAGAGTTTTTTTTTTTGTTAAATTAGAAATGCTCCTTCTCTGTGTAGACTTTTGTGGAGCGTTTTTCATCTTACTTGTTTGCAATCTAAATATGCTTGTGAGTACATCCTAGCGAACTTAAGTCGAATTCTAGTAATGTAAGTTATTTTCTCTTGTAGGCTTTTTGTGGGGGGTTAAGTTTCCGTACTCAATTTTTTTTTTTTTTAGTTTAAGTATAAATTTCTGCTATTTGTGAAAAACAATCGTTAATTGGTGGGCGCTTCACATTTTCCAAATTCATGTAATTGTGCTATTTGCTGCGAAGTCTTCACACAAACGACTTCGTATCGCATACGATAAGTATTTGACAATAGGCTGTTGTTTTTTTTTTTTTGGTACTTTAGCAAAGCAAATCAAAGCATTCGCTTTTCAGTCAGATTATGCAGCTTCACAAAAAATAATCCATTTTCTGATATTGTTAGCGTGTGCCCACCACTGATTTATAGGCTTGAAGGAGACATTTTGACACGTATTATTTTAAACAAAAATTTATACGGAGTATTCACGTTTTTTGGAGACTTTTATAGAGAATTTTATCTTATTTTAAAACAAGCGCTTAGACGAATTATCTATCAAAATAAAGCGTCTGGAGACTTTTGTGGACAGTTTTCTGTCACATTTTTATGTATCTACAATGTTCACGGTTATTTCCCAATAAACTAAAGCTGAGTTTTAATGCAGTGAACCTCTTTTTTTTTGTAGAAATTTTGTGGAGACTAAATTTTTTTGTGGGGAGGTTTGCTATTTTTATGAAAATCTCGATTTGGTTCATGTTTTCTGTCCGCTATATTTAAACATGGATTTTTAAGACGGTAGAAAATAAAGTCAACAACAGAAAATTTCCTTATATTTTCAGGGTTATTCGATTCTTTTTTCTTTTGAAACGAACAAAATGGATTTGCATTAAGTTATTTGAAGTACCTTCGTATGTATGTCGCGAACAGACGCATAAATTAGCAAATCTTTCTGAAAACTTTAAAATACTTTAGCATTCAGCGAAAAGATTTGACAATTAAAACAATTTGAATATTTTATTTTTAATATTCGGAGAAGCATTTATTTCTTAGAATTTTTCTTGGTGTTTTGGGGGTATTTATTTTATTTTTTGCTCTGGAAAATTTTGGGGAATCTCAACATTTGTGCAGTACTTTTTAGTTATTATAGAATTGTACAGGAAATTTACACGGTACATATACAACTACGGGTCATATGCACTGGTAGCAGTAGGTAGGTAGGTAGATAAGTAGTATTATGGCAAGACATAAGAGCACGTATACTTACATAAAAATCGACCAGAAGTATATAGAAGAAAGTTTTGTAATTTGTTAAAAAAAAAATAGCAAAATTTGCAAACCAACGCAAGTACATGTGCCGCTCTGTCTTCCCATATCTAGTATACATACATATGTACATATAAGATGTATATTTCATAAGTCATACATATTTTGTTTTTATAACTTTTTTTTTCTTTTAGTTAAATTTTTTATTGCAAAAGTCGCTGTGTAGATGCATTTTTATTTGAAAATTAATTTTGTTTCTTACTTCTCTTTTTTGCTTTTCCGATTTTAAACTCTCGAATTTTTTACATTTCTATTTTAATAAATTTTCAACATCATCGCATTTATTTTTCTCAATAGTGTATATACGTATATATGTATGTCGTTCGGTGTATACTTTAATCTAAAATCTTACCTGTAATAGTGTTTGAGTGCGCTAAATCACTTTGTTTTTCAATTATGGAATTTCAATATTTAATTTTTAATTTTTTGTTTGTTAATTTACTCATTTTTATCCTTACTCTTCGCTCTTTTATCCTTAACACTTTAATCGTCTAAATTCGGTAGTATCTATGCTGTTTAAAATTTAGCTAAAAAAATTAGTTCTAACAAAAAAGTGTGCAACCGAACAGCGAGTCGTCGACCTAAGTCTTGCTGAAGTTTTTTTCGTGCAAATAAATATTTTTACTTTACAGTTTTTATTCGCGTTTTTTATTTTTCTTAAATACTCGCTCGCTACGACTCTGTTTGCTATTAAATATTTACAAGTAAGTTTTTCGTTTGCATTTTATTCGTATTTGCTTCGTTCGCCGCCACTCATTTTCATTCCCTACTTTTTTGCACTTTTTCATTTTTTTCGCAGTGCACTACTTTTTTTTTTGCTTTGCTGGTTACTTTCTACGCTTAATTTTTCAATTTCGTTGGCATTTCAGTTTTAATTCACTTTAGCGCGTCCATCTTTACGTTCGCAATACTTCTTTCTACATTTCCTACTACATATTTAGCGATAGGGATCTATCAGTTTTTTTTTGTTTTTTATTTTTTAGTGGGCTTTTTTTCACTCTTCAAATTTGGCTTTTTGCTCCAATCTGCATGCATTTTTACTATTTCTTGCTTCCTTGCTATTTGTACCTGTACAATATTCTTTCAGTTCGGTGCTGCATTCTCTTCTTTTGTTGCTCTGTTTTTTTAATGTTTGTCGTTTCGTCTTAAAACTTGCATGTGTGCTCTTGCTTTGCGTTTCTTGTAAAATGTTGTTGTTTTTTCAGCTCCTTTTTAGTGCGCTCCTTGCATCAAAAGCTACCTTGTGTTACTTCGCATGAAATGTCTTTGAGAAGGTGTATGAGTTTTTTTCGGTGTAATTTTTACTGGCATATTCCTTTCAATCTGTTATCTTTGCGTAGAAAGAGAAATAAGCGCTGAAAGTAGGTATAGAAAAAGAATATGTAATGTATAGAATCTTAACTTATGATGAAAAGTTTTTGCTGAGAAAAAAAATTAAAATGATTTTTTTTTAAATTGGGAGCAATCTGCATTATTCTCTATTTTTTCCAAATTTAAAAGTTTTTAAATTTTTGAGACTTTTTTAGAAGATATTTTTGCTTAGAAATTATTTTGGAAATGTAGATGTGGAGACTTTCGTGGAGGCTTTCTTTTAAAGCTTTACAGTACTGTTGAGCATAAGAAATTTTTATTAGCAAAGCACGGGCATTGGTCATATTTTTGGAGACTTTTTTTGGAGATCTTTTTCCAAAATTTTTTTTTTGTATATATATTTTTTTGTATTTTCGAATACTTTGCTTCTTCATTATTTATTAAAGAGTTTTGGAATACAAAAGCTAAAAGTAAATATGGAGAATTTCCAAAACCTAATTTGAAATATACAGAGGGACTCTCCCAGGTTTGCAAAGAAGGAAAGACATCATCGGAACTACATATATAAAGGTTTGCAGGAAACAAAATTTGGTTAGGGTGTCCCCTGACTTCGAGATATTATTCAGTAGTTCTAATAGCGTTCCTTTTCTCCAAAAAATTTTCGCCCGTTTATATGGGAACTCGCGATATGGAAAATAATTCTACTTTTACAAGCGTAAATTAAAAACGAACCATACAACTCTCACCCGCACTTTTATTTGAGAGCAGAAAAGGCAGCACTTTTGCCGGATCAGAGCGCAATCTGCTGAGAAAAGAACACATGTAAATTTTATAGCGCTACCACGGGGCAGATAAAATGCAGGTAGTTAAAGGAAATATTCCTGTGTCCTTCTGGCAATGGGCTTGTAATTTCCCTCTTACCGGCTCTTGATGTTCGTCATGGCATCAGATCATGGTGCGGAGAGAGCTATGGAATTTCCTGAGCGATCTAAGCTTACGCGGTTTGCATACTGGAAGCCCTGCGCCAAAAGATTTCCGATGCTGCATCCTGCCCTCGTCGGTGTAATCGAATAAAATCCTTCCCACGGGGACAAAAAGGTTATTGTCATCATTGGACCATTAACTAACGACCATCTGAGCTGTTACATGCGGTAGCTAAATGGCATCTGGTTGAGGCCCTGAGGAATTAAGTTGCACGATAGTAGGGTAGTTTTGTGCTACCAGTGAAGTGTCCAGCGAAAAGCAGCCCTCACAAAAGTCTAAGTCAGGAATATGTTTGCATTACGGGAGCAATGCCCACCTTTATAGCGTAAGTGCTGGAGGAAATTACAAAGCCTTGGCCTCTGAACTTAATTATAGAGCAGTTAACAAAACGAACTCTAGCAAGAAGCGTTATTGGCAATGGAAAGATCGCAACATACAGATATGTGGAGAAATCGGGCCTGAAGCTCATGCTAGCGCTATCTACCAGAACCAAAATACAGCAGAGCACTTGCGG